TTTTTCAACTAGTTTGGATCATTTGACACAGAACAGTGTGAAAGAAAACCGCAGCGGTTGAAAATAGGCCTGTGGCAATAATCAATAAATCAATTAATCAATTAATCATGTGATAAATTAAAAAAATTCAATAATTTCCATTTGAATCATTTTTTTTCCTCCTTCTGCCAAAAACTGGATGACAAAAGTCTCCAGCCGGGTCCTTTGGTCTCAACTAGCCCTTCTTTTGAAGGACAGTTTTGTTTACAGAGACTCCATGATTCATTTTATTTGTTGTTTTATTTGCATATTTAAAATGTTTCCAGTTCAGTCTTTAGAATTTAAAGTTTATTGAGCTTTGAGGATTTGTTCTTGCATTACTTTCACCATTATATTACTTGAAAATGGTCTCAAAACAACAATGTTATCGTTTACTGCAAAAACATCTGGAACATTTTATCCTGGGAAAGATTTTGAAAATGTAACAAACGTTGCCATTTTGTTCTCTAATCAAACTGAGCCAACCGGACCGTCAATGAAATTACAGCAGCGTTATTAACTGAACATCTGACAGGTGAAGATTTCTTCTTTCTAAAACTTTTAAATGAACTCAGTCTGTAAAAAGTTTGTTTTGTTGGGTGATTAGCAGAACACAGAGTTAACAGCCTTGATTGACTGAAAAAGTGGCTGAAATCCAGACAGACCCAGTAGAACCAGTGATCTGGACCACAGTAAGGGGAAACCCACCGGTCCACGCTGATGGCACACAGGTTGAAGATCGACGCGGTGCACAGCATCACGTCCATGGTCATCAGACCGTCACATATCGTCATGTTCAGGGTCCAAACTCCACCCTGAAACTGCTCCAGAACACACATGCAACCCGTCATTAGCTGACCCAAATCCCAGTGAGAAAATGTGTAATCCTGAACACAAACACTCAGGCCCCGCCCACTTTCCCCCCGCCGTCTGCAGGTGAGCGCACGCTGACGTCTCTAATCCAGGGACTGCATGCCAGCGGTGTGACGGCTCACTGCGAGGTAACAGGATCACAAACTGGGCTCTTCAACGGAGACTTACAGGCAGAGCCGGCCCAAGGCATCTGCTTATGACCCCCACACCACCAGGGGGCGCCCATGGGCACCAAGCCCATATATATTTAAAATATACTATTGAATAACACAAACTAAATGTGATTACACATTGACAAACTATTCCTGCATTGTTTTTTTTATAGATATTACAGAAATAATGGTTCATCTGTGATGATTTCTGCTGTTGGGGAAATAAAACATATCAAGCATGTTTACTGTAAATTTAGTTTTTATCAGCTGACGCTACTTTCAAATATGGGACACATAAATACCAATCTGCATTTCAAAATATAAGTAATATTTTCATATTTGTTACTCATATTAGGTTAAAATAGCCATAATAAATCTGGCATGATGTAAGCTAATTACAAATAATGCTAATGATAGTTTAGTAATAATAAAGCATCAAGAAGGCACATGGGGCCTGAAATAAAAATCTGTTTGGGCCCCAAAAAGGCTTGGACCGGCCCTGTTGCCAGGGAAGAGAACCAAGCAGGAAGCTTTCAAACAACGGTTAGATTACACCTTTATCACCTGGATAACCTGGGAAATATGAATTATAGCCACTCATTTACCCAGTAGAGAAGCTCCTGTGCTCCTCATGTCGATAATCTCCGTCAGGATGTTTGCATCCAAAACACCAGATGTATTTTCTGAATGCTTTTATGTTTATTTTGTATTTCTGTTGAGTTTCTGCCTGGAAATGAACTCCAAATGTGTAGTTATTTATTTATTTATTTGCAGCATTTCCACCTCATTTTGCAATTTGAATCCATTTGTATATTTTGGATCACTCTCCAGCCCACACGCCTCATTTGTCTGTTATTTTGTTACTTTGTAGTCTTACGATGTGATCTACAGCAATAATATCTACAACATAAGGACTCCAATGGCATAAGGCTTTTATGTAATGGGACTTTTTTTTTTAGCTCCAAACTGAGCTTTAGATTTTTAAGTGGGTTTTTTCTTTTCACATATTTATTGAAAAAGCTTGCTAATCAAGTCTCATTTTAGTTAAAATAAATAAAATAAAATAAAATAAAAATAGCTAGGCAATTTGTCTTTAGCAGTTTGTCACCAGCTCTAAAAACTGTGGATTTCTTGTTTTATTTTTGCTTAACTTAGTAAACTTATTTTTACATATCAGAAATTACTTGCTTTTGATTTTTTTCAAGTTATGATGAAACAATAGTAATTGTTGTATCTGACTCAAACTGAAGTGTCATTTTTTAAATCCAGTGTAAAAAAATAAAATAAAAAGTGCTCATGCAGTGGGAGCTGGTCAGGCTTCATGGGATGGATGGAAATAAATCCAGAACAATCCTGGAAGAAAACTGGCTAGAGGCTGCAGAAGAGCCGAGGCTGGGGTGAAAGGTCACTAGCCTGAGCACATCACGGTATTCACTGATGCTAACAATTTAGCTTACAAGCATTTCTTTGTAGAAAACCTTTTTCTTTTAAATACATTTAGCTAATTTAGATAAAACGTGTTAGTTAATAAGTAGTGGAAATCACCATTTTTTAATTTTCATGATTTTTCATTAACAGCTCTGTTAGCCAGCTAGCTAATAAGTTAGCCAGCTGGTGAACTATGTGCATCTAGTCTGTAGTTTCTAATTTGTAGAAAACTCTTTCATTTTCTTTTAAACTCAAGAAGTCAAAAATCTGACAGAAATAATTGAAATTTCTGAGTTCAAAAAATTGAAAATTTTCAAGAAAAAAATCTGAAAGTTTAAGATTAATCTAATAATTTTTCTAGAAAAAACTTGGAAATTTCTGAACTCAAAAAGTAATAATAAAAAAAACGACTTTTCCATGTATTTTTTATTTTTTTTACTCCACCTCTAAGATCTTTGCACTGAGATTAACTTGCTACCAGTTGAACTGCTTTTAAATTGTACAGGAATTTATTTAGAGGTAACAGAGTGAAGGGGCACTCACAATAAAAAAACTAAATAATTTTTGCTTCTCTTCAAGCAAAAACCACCTCACCTCTGCGTAAACGAAGAGCGGCAGAACCAGAACCGCCAGCAGCAAATCCGCAAACGCCAGACTCACTATGAAGTAGTTGGTGGTAGTTTTCAAAGCCTTCTCCAAGTAAACACTGAGGCACACCAGCACGTTTCCCGCAGTGACGGTGATGATCAGTAAAATCCCGAATATGAGCGCCGGGAAGTTGTAGTGTGCGACCGGAGCCGCCGGCAGCGACTCGTTGATCAGATCCGAGAAGTTGTCCGCCATGGTCCCCGGCGGTGGAAGACTGAGGGGCCCCCAGGTCTCTCCGGTGGGGTTTTCATCTATGAGGCAGAAACCCGGCAGCTACGCAGCAAACGGCGGCTTTCCAAGCGAGTTCCTCCGGTGCGCAACGCTGTCCGTGCGCAAAAACCTCCGCGCTGCAGCCGCAGACTTCATCCGATCGCAGTTTCAACTTTTTTTTCCACGGTTGTTCCCGACAGATTCCTGTAGGATCTGTTTCCTCCTGTCGTCTTGCAACCTGCTCATGCAGGAACAATTTAGCGAATCAGAAGCCAAGAGCAAATCCGTGCGCGTAAATCTTCTTACTGCGGCTCTGCTCGGTGTGTGTGACCAATCTGCGCAGGGTGACGAATCAGCATCAGAGCGGCCGACTAAACTGGAAGTAAAACACTTTAGTCTCCAAGTCTGACAGGAGACTTAATAGTTTATTAAAGGAATGGATGTAATTATAGCAGATGAAGACAAAAACTGGGAGAATATAACATTTCACCTCTCCATGCATCGGGCAGACAACAGAGTTAAACTGACTAAACGATTCACTGCAAAAACAAAAAAATACCGCGAAGTATTTTTCCCTAGTTTCTAGTGCAAATATCTCAGTACTCTTGAAATACAACAAAGCTAAAGTACAGCCTTTTCAGTAAGAAATGGGAGCTTGTTTTAAGCCAATAAATTCTTAAAATTGATTATTGATTATAAAATTGGTAGATTATTTCACTTGTAACATGGACAAAATGTCTTGGTAAAAGTGAAATAATCTGCCAGGAACAAGAACTTCATTAAATCGATATTAAGGAATTATTTACTTTAAATAATCGCTATGGAGCTAAATTGAAGCCAGAAATTTTGTTCACAAGAAAAAAAACCTTGAAACTGGAGAAACAAAACAATATAATATATATACCTAATAAGATTTTGCTTTTACAGTAACAAATATACAAATAATTAATACAAAATAAATCACAAAACAATTAGACAAGATGCTGGAACAAATAACAGATATTGTTGATGTATTTCAGTTTTTTCATAATTTATTCTTTTCTTGTTTTGTTTTGGTTAGTTTTGTTGTACTTTTTCAGCATTTTGTACTTGTGTATAGAAAGGTTAAAATGGCCAAAGTAAATCAATAAATTGGTAATTGGTAAATAAACCCTGAATATATGAGAAGCTAAAATACATAAAACAATTTAGCCTCAAATCAACACATTCCCAAGAAAACTCAGAAACTAAGCAGAGGGTAAGTAGCAGCCAAGTGATGCTGGTCAATAGCATAAATAAAAAAACAGAAAATGTAAATTAGCTTTACAACAACAGTTTATGCCGTTTGCACACAAGTGAAAAAAATATTCACAATATCTTTACAAACACAGGATTTAAAAAATGTATCTTGGAGAATAAAAAAATAGTCTGACCAGTTTTTGTTCTCTTTAGAGATGCTAGTTTTGCAGATCCCGCACATTCTGGACACAAACTGTTTCAACTTTTGCCTTCAGGTTGTAGTGATCAGCTACTTTGATGTAAAACTAAATAAACTTATTTGCACTGCCACAACCTGACTTTCTTTTTTCTTTCGTACATGCTGTTGTATTTATCCTTTATTTTAAGTTTAGTTTCTGTATGTACGGTCTGCTTCTGTAACTCTGCTTTTAGTCTCAGGTCTGGGAGTCTCAGTCCTGCAAGTTCTGGAAATGAATCAATTTTTCTCCAAGTTTTTGCTTTAACAGCTTTCCTTCTGGATGTTCCTCAACCTCTGGAAAATTAGAAGCAGAAAATGAAATGTTTTTGAGGGAGAACACTTTGAAGTTCACATGTACAGAGTCATACTTTTTTCAGTCTATAATTGAATGCACCATCAGTAAAAGTTACAACTTTTATCAAGTTTGGGACTCCGAACTTTGAAGCGAGTGCAGAGCCGGGAGGGAATCAAGTCAAAACGTTGCTAAAATAACTGGGAAATGCAAAAATCTACTGAGATAATGACCATCCATGAAGTGTGTTTCTGAGGAGACTGATGTATGGCCCGCTCATTAATATCATTTTACCTGAGTCTCCCAGATACTTCTGTACTTTGGAGGAGTTGAATATTTTATTGAAACGACTGTCACTCCCTTGGGGTAATCATGTGCATGAATGATGAATTAGTCTCCCTATAGGAGGAATTCTCATTTATAAATTGAATTTATGATGAATTTTTAGGTCAGAAACCAATTTAGTTTCCAGTATTTGCATGCACTATCATCATACATTAATTTCTATTGGAACATTTACAAAAGAACAAGTTAGTTTTATTTTGGCAGATGTAGGCGTTTAATTGGTAGAGGAACTGTTTGAAATAATTCAACCAATTTCACTTAAAACCAATGAAAATAATGATTTTAATTATATATGATAACATTAACTAGTGTCCTTAGTTGACAAAAGAAAACATGGACCACTAAAAGGCAATACTAAACAACTATATCCTGTTTTGGATATTACATTTGCTTCTAAACAGCTGCGATGAATCTGAAGCTAATTTTTATCCGTTTCCATTAGCTAACAAGTTAGCTTAGGTCCGTCATGATTTGGTGTTGGTGGCGGTGAGGAAGACGCTTGTAGGCCCAGGCTGACATTTTAAGGTGTTTAATGATAAGTCCAACAAGTAACAGAATCCAAAAACACGAGTAACAACTGGGAGCACCGAGGAAACAAGATGTACAGCGACAGACTGACGAACCATAGACGAACGACGTGGTTAGACGTGGACCCGATAAGGAACACAGACAACAGGTGGAACTAAATACACAGGGAGGCTAAAAACAGGAACAAGACACAGCTGGGGTCAATCAGGACAGACACTGAGCCTCACAGGGGAAACAGAACTAAATAAACACAGAAAAACCTCACAAATAACTACACAGAAAACACAGATCGTCACAAGGTCGGCATAATTACTTTGAAGAAAATGGTGCGTTTTCTTTTAAATATATTTAATTTGAATAAAATTAGCGCTGTGACAGACTGGCGACCTGTCCAGGTGACCCCGCCTCCCGCCAGGAACGTTAGCTGGAGCGGCACCAGCACCACCTGATCCCACTGGGACAAGGTGTTAGAAAATGAATGAATGAATGAGTGGATGGATGGATGGATGGATGAGTGGATGAATGAATGAATGAATGGATGGATGAATAAAATTAGCAGATAATTCAAATGTTATAAAATCAGCCATATTCTAATTTCCATATTAATCCACAGAATATTGCATCGGTACCGTTAGCCGAAGTTAACATTAGCTTAATTATTTTGTAGAAAATTGTTTAGTCAGCTTTTCTTTTACATATTTTCAATTTTAAAAATAAAAAATAAAAACACTGACTGTTAAACAACATTGTAAAACAACCATATTCTAATTTCTGTACTAATCTGTTTCTAAACATCAGTGACGATTCAGAAGCTAATCCAGAAGCTAACGAGCTAACTTGTGATAAAAAGAATAATATACAACTTTACTACTTAAAATTCCCACTAAACTGATAGCTGCAATATACAAGCCTTCTGTTTGACCCCAAGTAGCTTCACTGAACATGATCTGTTTTAAAATAAGGTTTCTCCTATAATGACTCTTAACAGTAATTAGGATCCTCCGATTTCGCAATAATCTAATATTTATTTTACCCCATTTGCTGAGGTTCTTAGCAAATAAATATTTCAGTAATTAACTCAGAAAAACAAAATCTCATTGAACACTAATTATTATATGTCAGCGATTTGTCTGTTACTCTCCCCCTGAATGTGTTGTTTTAAATATTCGCTTTAATTTCAGGTTTTCAGCCGTCACATGCTGCAAACAGCTGACAGGCGACTCTTACTTCTGATTAAAGGTGTTCGGGTCGCAGCAGCTCCTGTGGCGTGAATATCATTAGAATAAAGTCAGCAGCAATTAGCTTTTCACACGTCGTGGAAGAGCCTGAGGAGGAAGAAGAAGAACTTGGAGAAAAGCGCACATGCTTTGGAAAACACAGCGCAGATGCTAAATTCACCCCGAGTCCTTTTCTTCACGACGCACAAAGATGTGACGTCACTGACACATTTTAACCATATCCGCATAATTATATGCATAAAATCTGAGTAAGTCTGAAAACTCACTAATTTTGAGATTAATCTTAAAATTTTCTAGAAAAATATTTTCTGAGTTTCAAAAGTAGAAAAAAATCCCAACATTTTAAAAAATTGACACTTTTGAAAGTTTGAGTTTAACCTAAAAAATACAGATTTTTTCTATAACCATTTTTTTACTTTTCAAATGTGCTTTTCCTAGAATTTTTCAGAGATTAATTTCACAATTTTTGAGTTTTTTTTTGTGTGCAAATTATTCTTTTTTGTTTTCTTTGTACAATCGCCCTATAATACACCGTCTGTCAGTCTGAATGTAATAAGCTGGAAAAATAAACATCTTTTTTTTTTTTTTTTCAGCAGTTAAAATATTTTAATTAATTAATTTCTTACTTAGCTTACGAAGGTTAATTTTTTAAAACAACTTTTTCTGACCTCATTAGAGATGAAATTTGCTTTGAGCATTTTTCAAGTCCGGAAAAGTATGAAAAATATGAAACTGTGTATTTAAAAATACAAGAAGTTCTACCAGTTGTGTAACTGTTAGAACTCCTCACAATTTGATTTTAACGTCATAACCTTCAGTTCTTAAGTCATTCCAAAGATATTTAAGGCCAGTTTCACAGCTTTTTAGACGACTTTAAACATGAAAATACTGAACAATGAACTAAATCTGCTTGTTTTAGTACAGGAAACTCAAGAATATGACTGTATTTTTTAAACCTGATGTGAAGAAAAGACCATTCACTACAACATACTCCCTAATTAAGTTTTTTTTTTTTTTTAAGAATTTGTTGTAGCCAAAGAAAATCTTTTACGCCAACATTAGCTGCAGTGGTTGCTGCCGTGACTGGAGCTGTTTGATGCTACAGGTGGTTTCTGTGAACTCCTTGTAAAGCTGCAGGATTAAAGGTTTGCTTCTCTTGATTTCAGATTCCACAAAGGGGGAAGATTTTCTCTGGAGTTGCTTTAAAATATTCATAAAAAAGGAGAGCGGAGAGCCGCAGGGTGCAGAGCGGACTGATGAGATAAATTACTGAGCGGCTTCCAGGAATCTGCTTCTGCTGCTGGTAATGATCACTACTGACCCTCAGAGGCAAAACAGAGACCAGAAACATAGATTTAAATTTAGGATGTTCAAGAAGTGACAGAAAATCTTAAAACGGGAGAAAAACTAGAAGAAAACAACACCCTGC